CGGATCATTCTCCAGGATCGATCACATACTGGGGCACAAGACAAACATCAACAGATACACCAAGATTGAAATCATATCAACCATCTTTTCTGACCATGAAGGCATCAAACTAGAAATAAACCATAAAAAGAAGGCAAGGAACTTTCCTACCTCATGGAGATTAAAAACCACACTACTGGAAGACCATTGGACTAATGAGGAGATCAAAGAAGAAAAAAAATTTTTTGAATTGAACGACAAGGAGGACACTAATATCCTAAATGTATGGGATGCAGCAAAAGCAGTAATAAGAGGAAAATATATAGCAATAGAAGCTCACATCAAGAAACAAGAAAGAACGCAAAGAAACAACCTCATCTCGAAGCTCAAAGATCTAGAAAAAGAACAACAAAAAAACCCCAAAACCAGTAGAAGAAAAGAAATAATAAAAACCAAAGCAGAAATAAATGAAATTGAAACTAAAAAAACAATCCAAAAGATCAATGAAACCAAGAGCTGGTTTTTTGAAAAAATCAATAAAATAGACAAACCCCTAGCCAGGCTCACAAAGGAAAAAGGGAGAAAGCACAAATAAACAGGATCATCAATGAAAGAGGAGAAATCACAACGGACACAGCAGAAATCAAAAGAATTATCAGTAACTACTATGAACAGTTATATGGAAACAAGTTTAACAATCTAGAGGAGATGGACAAATTCCTACAACTCTACAATCACCCAAAGCTAGATAAAGAAGAAATAGAACACCTAAACAGACCAATTACAATTAGCGAAATTGAAATGGTAATCAAAAACCTCCCCAAAAACAAAAGCCCAGGACCTGATGGATTTACAAATGAATTCTACCAAACATTCAGAGACGAATTAGTGCCTATCCTTCACAAACTCTTCCAAAAAATTGAGAAGGAAGGGACAATACCAACACGTTTTATGAAGCCAACATTACACTAATACCAAAACCGAACAAGGACAACACAAAAAAGGAAAACTACAGGCCAATCTCCCTAATGAACACTGATGCAAAAATCCTCAATAAAATTTTAGCTATCAGAATCCAACAATGTATCCATAAGATAATTCACCACGACCAAGTTGGATTCATTCCAGGGGCACAAGGATGGTTTAACATCCGAAAATCAATCAACGTTATCCAACACATCAACAAAAAGAAATATAAAAACCATATGATAATATCAATAGATGCTGAGAAAGCTTTCGACAAAGTGCAACACCCATTCATGATAAAAGCCCTTGAAATTCTGGGGATACAAGGAACATACCTCAACATCATAAAGGCCATCTATGACAAGCCAACAGCCAGTATCATTCTCAATGGTGAAAAGCTGAAAGCAATTCCATTAAAATCTGGAACAAGACAAGGATGTCCACTCTCACCATTGCTTTTCAATATAATACTGGAAGTCCTAGCCAGGGCAATAAGACAAGAGAAAGACATCCAAGGAATCCAAATAGGAAAAGAAGAAGTCAAACTATCACTATTTGCAGACTATATGATATTATACATAGAGAACCCCAAAAACTCCACAGAAAAGCTAATTCAACTCATCAATCAGTTCAGTAAAGTGGCAGGATACAAAATCAACACGCAAAAGTCAGTAGCCTTCCTATACACAAACAATAAATCTGAAGAAGAAGAAATCAAAAAGACCATCCCTTTTGTTATTGAAACAAAAAAAATCAAATATTTGGGAATAAATCTAACAAAAGAGGTAAAGGACCTATACAAAGAAAACTATAAAACACTGTTAAAAGAAATAGAAGAAGACACAAAGAAATGGAGAGACGTCCCCTGCTCATGGATTGGAAGAATAAACATTATTAAAATGGCCATCCTACCAAAAGCAATATACAGATTCAATGCTATTCCAATCAAAATTTCAATGTCATTCTTCAAAGAAATAGAACAATTATTGATGAAATTCATATGGAATCACCAAAAACCCCGAATAGCCAAAGCTCTCCTGAAAAAAAAGAAGTGAATGGAGGCATCAGACTCCCAGACTTCAAACTATACTACAAAGCCATAATCATCAAAACTGCATGGTATTGGAACAAGAACAGACATACAGACCAATGGAATCGAATAGAAAATCCAGAAATAAACCCACAGATTTATGGTCAACTAATCTTTGACAAAGGAGCAAAGAATATGCATTGGAGCAAAGAAAGTTTGTTCAATAAATGGTGCTGGGAAAACTGGGTCGCTACATGCAAAAGAATGAAGCTTGACCACCACCTCACACCATACACAAAAATCAACTCAAAATGGATTAAAGAACTAGACATAAGACCTGAAACCATAAAATATATAGAAGGAAATATAGGCGAAACACTACGTGATTTGCACATCAAAGACATCTTTACAGACACATCACCCAAAGCAGTGATAGTGAAGGCAAAGATAAACAGCTGGACTACATCAAATTAAAGAGCTTTTGCACAGCAAAAGAGACTATAACAAAAACAAAGAGAAACCTCACCAACTGGGAGAACATTTTTGCACCCAACACTAATGATAAAGGACTGATCACAAAAATCTGCAAAGAGCTGATGAGACTCAACAACAACAAAGAAAATAATCCAGTCAAAAAATGGGCAGAAGAGCTTAAAAGAAACTTCTCTGAAGAGGAAATGCAAATGGCCAACAGGCATATGAAAAAATGTTCAACATCACTTGTCATCAGGGAAATGCAAATCAAAACTACCATGAGATACCATCTTACACCAGTGAGAATGGCACATATTAAAAAAACTAGCAACAACAAATGTTGGCGAGGGTGTGGAGAAAAAGGAACTCTTCTGCACTGTTGGTGGGAGTGCAAACTGGTCCAACCACTGTGGAAAGCTGTATGGAGATTTCTGGACCTACTAAACATAGAGCTTCCATATGATCCAGCAATTCCACTCCTAGGTATTTACCCAAAGGACACAGAAACATCAATTCCAAAGAACACCTGCACCCCTATGTTTATAGCAGCACTGTTTACAATAGCTAAGCTTTGGAAACAACCCAAATGCCCAAAAATAGATGACTGGATCAAGAAGATGTGGTACATATATACCATGGAATATTACTCAGCATTCAAAAAAGATAAACACATGCAATTTGCAGCAACATGGATGGCGCTGGAAGGGATCATGCTCAGCGAAATAAGCCAAAAGAAAAAGAAAAATACCGGATGGTCTCACTCATAGCAGGAATCTAGAAAACTTAAATAAGGGACCAGGAAAATGAATATAAGAAAGTGAAAATCAAAATCAACAAAAAACTATGAACCAGAGACACTTTTAGGGGGGCGTGGGTGGGAGGGGAGGGATTGGGGTCAGAATGGGGGGGCTACAATTGTATGGGGAATATAACAATAAAATTTATTAAAAAAAAAATAAAAAAAATCATTCCTAGTGTTTTAAAATTCCATTTAATGTTGCTGTTCATTTTTTTTTTCACATTATCCTCAGAGCGGTGTCTGCAGGATCACGGCACAGAGGGACTGTCAGCAGCCTGGGGCTGTGAGCAGGGTTGACTCTCACCCACCTGCAGGGAGTGGGGCCCTGGAGCCCCAGAATCAGTCCCAAGGGCTGGTCCTCCAGGGAGGCACAGGCATTGCTCTGCCCTCCTCTTGGCTCCCTGAATCTCCCAGACACCCCAGCATTGGGGAACTGAACGGGGATGTTCCGGATGAGGAAGGGGACTCCCCTTAACTATTATCTCCCCCATCTCCCTGCCATCCGCAGCATCAAGACAAAACATGGAAGACCTTTCATGGAAAGGATTTTTAATACAGTTAGTGTGCAACAAAGACAAATGAAAGAATAAAGTTTCCAAATCAAGCACCAAAGTCACCATCCCCTTGTGGGTAAATGTTCAGCCAAACAGGGTTGGCCCAAGCAGGGCCTGAAAGCCTGTCACAGTCTAAAGCACCTCCTGGCGGGACCCATAGAAAAGGGGGACAGGGCTGTCAAGTCTGGAAGGAAAAGAGCAAAATCAAGATAGAAGCTGCCATTGTCACCTCGTCATGGATTTCTCACCCATGTCTGTGTCACCCAGTCCAAGGCCAAGAAGCAAGTGCAGCTTCTTCACGTGTCTCTGTCCCATGTGCCTCGCCCAGGTCTCCTTCTGGCTCCATCCTGCTTCCTCCCTCCTCAGCCTCCTCTCAAGCTTCCTCTCCCTGCTCAGCTCCACCCTTCTTGGGTGGGGCACGAATCCAGATCCTCCCTTGGGGGTCCCCCTGTTACAGTCCTCTCCATCACCAGCATGTGCATATGTGTGGGTGACACCAGCCCTGCAAGGACAGGCAAGGCCCCGGATGTGCGCAGTTCCCTGGGCAGTTACAGGCCAGCACTGCTGCATCCCCCAGGGGAGACAGACGCTCCAGCTCCCCAGTGAGAGCCTATGTCACCCACACAGACCTTCCCCCTCAGTGTCCCCCGTGTTGCCCCTTCCCTGCCCGGTCCTCTCTGGCTCCCCCTGCACCCCTTTCCACCTCTGTCCCTAAAGTCCCCATTTCCATCCTCTGCTCTCTTTTCCAGGAGCTTCCCCATCTTCCTAGCCAGTGCCCTGGGGGCTCTCCTAGGCCCTCCCCTCCTCCAAAGGATGGAGAATGTCAGGTGATTCCCAGGAGGAGGGGCTTTCGTCCTTGGAAGCAGAGGCAGAAACAAATTACAGGGACCCTGGAATCTAAGTTTTCATATAAAGAGACTGAGGCAATCTATATATTTGGGGATTTGCCCAGAACCTAGGAACCAATTATGTCCTGGAGACCACTGCAGACTAAAAATAAGGACACTGAAACTGACGCAGACTTGGGCGCCCCCTTGTGTGCAAATCCCTGTCCTGCCGCTGGGAGCCCAGGGAGCCTGGGGAGGGCCTGGCTGAGCAGGAGAAAGGGCGGCTCTGGGCTCCTGTGCTCAGCCCTGTGGCCACACGGGGGCGCTGCCGCGCTGCTCCGGATTTGGTGGAGCCGCCAGGACAGGGGGGGGCTGAGGTGGGCAGAGTTGGGGGTTCTGGAGGGCGGCGTTCTGGGATGAGATGCTCTGTGAGGAGTCAGAGCAGCAGGGCTCAGAGGAGAGGAGACTCCGGAGCCTGCTATGTGTGAGGTTTCCGTCTTTTCTCCCCAGAACTCTTCTCTCCAGTCCCTCGACGGTGATACCTGGGAGAATCGGAAAAGAGAAAATTTTTTTCTTCTACAATCTATTCAATATTGAGGGCATTTTAAAAAAAAAAATAATATTTAGGGCCTCCCTGGCGGCTCAAGGAGCTAAGACATAGCAGTATGAAGCTCTCCGCAGCCACTACGGCGTGAGTTTGATCCCCAGCCAGGGAGCTGCCCATATGGCACGTCAGACCTCCCCTGTCTCGCCCGCTCCTCCCCTCAGCAGTGCATTTCAGTACATCTGCCTGTTCAGCTCCCCACCCTATCTCTGGTGAGTCCTCTCACCTCCACATTTCTCGCCTGCACCCCTGTTCTTGTATGCATAAATAAATCTTTATAAAAAAATAAATTTATCTTAAAAAATAACATTTAAAGAATACTGTTAGATTTATAGAAAAGTTGCAAAGGCAGTACAGGTCTTGTTTATCCCACACCATTTCCATTTTGTTAACATCCTACATGAATACTTTTATTTTTTTACAACTAATGCAGCTATGTTGACATAATTACTAAATGCCATCTTTGCTACTGTCCATTTTATGCTCCATAATCCCATCCAGTTCGCCTGGATGACAGTTTCTCAGATTTCCCTTGTTTTTATAACATTGACACTGGTGAGGAGTGATGTTTGGGAGAGGTGTTGGGGTCACAGATGAGGGTTCTTGGGTCACCTCTAAGAAAAGCGTCACCAGAGTCCTCCTTTCAGTAGCGTGTGGGCACACACACACACACACAGAAAGAAGAAGATGCTTGTGCAGACACCAGCAGGCAGGAGGAGCTGCCCCTGGAGAGGGCGGGTGTGTGAGGAGAAGCCTGCAGGCCCCAGGCGGAGCCTTGGAGCAGAGCTGCGTCTTCCCGGGGCAGAAAGGGCCCTGAGGTAGTGTTCTAGTTGGGAGGGCTCATTCCTTTGTGGGAATGTTATATATCATTAAATTAATTACTTCTATGGTGTGACGAGGCTAATTGGTCAGGAGCAGCGAGTCTCTGCAATGGCTCCATCCCCACATCCCAGCTCTGGTCTGTGCCTCCTTATACTTCCTGTAGCACCTGATACTTGCTATAGCAGTTGGCCCGAAGCAATTTTCATTTCTATAGTTGGTTTAATAACGTGCTAATAACCACTTCTACCCCCACCTCTAGTTTCTGGTCATGTGACCCCTCCATCCTAAATTTTCTACTGTTAGCCTCCATCAAGGAGCACTGCTCAGGACTATTGTCCCTCAACTTAGGTTTTTTTTTTTTTTTATTGGGACTCTGGGTTTAGGGAAGCAGACCCCAGGGGTGCAGGGCCATTGTCCACTCAACACGTCAGTGCTCATCATGTCCACCTGACTCATCACTGATGGTGTTAACCTTCAATGCCAGACTAAGGCAGTGTTACCCAGGTACCACCTTACACTTGTGAGAATGACCCACTGAAGGGTGTGGAGAAAAGGGAACTCTGGTACATGGTGGGTCAGAATGGAGACTGGTCCTGTTAGCCAGCAGAATGAGGGGTTCCCTGGCCCCTCAAACCTGCGCACATGACATGAGTTGTGTCATCAGCTGCATAAAGAAAAAACATACTCTAATGCATAACACCTTCATTAGAAAAGAAAATGAATACAAATTAGCGTGCAATAGACAATGAGCGTGCAATAGCAAAAGAGAAGAGAAAGAATATAGTTAGAATAGTTCCCAAGTGAAGCACCCAAAGTTACCTGTCCCCCCATGGGTAAGGCCCAGCCAAACAGGCTTGCCCAAAGCAGGCCCACTGAGGCCCGGAGGCCTGCCACAAGGCTAAGGCACCTACTGTAGAGACCCATGGGAAAGGCGCAGGAGGGGCCAGGCAAGTCTGGAAGGAAAAGAGCAAAGTCAAAATCCACAACAAGATAACAGCGGCCATTGTCAGCCTCCCCTTGAGTCTCTCATGCATGTCTTTGTCTCTTTCATGTGTCTCTTTCCATGTCCCCAACTCCCTGGCACAAGTCCAAGCCTGAGGAGCGAGAGTGGCTTCTTCTTTGAATGTCTCTCTGCTCCATGTGCCTCCTCCAGTCTCCTCTCCCCATCTTGCTCCACGTCTTCCTCCTCTTCCTTAGCTTCTCATGCCTGCTCAGCCCCACTGCCGCGGACCAGCACAGCAGTGAACGATGAGGCCGTCTCAGGATTGAGAGACTGTGCAGGGTGTTCAGGGATTCGGTGAATAAATGACATACAGACACACATCAAGAAGGTGGAAATCTGAGTGTAATTTTATTTAAGTTGTGGCCAGTTTTTGAGCAGGACTGAAAAAGCATTGGACCTGAAGAGGAGGAGGAGGTTTAGAAATACCTCATGGTTGGCTTGAGGTGTAAGGAGCTGGGCAGGACCCTCCTCCAGGCCCCGCCTACAATATGGTGGCACCTTCACCTTGACAGCTCCCTCCCCCAAGCCCCAATTTTTTTCTCCTTTGGAGTCACCATAGAAAACCCACTGGTCTCAGAGTCAAGGAGCACCATGGGCTGCGCCTACTTTCTCTCTAGACCAGAGCAGGAGGGAGCCCCACAGGGGGAGGAGGAGTGTGTGTCCTGCTGGCCTGGCCCAGGGGCAGGATTAGCCCAGGTCACCCCAGTTCCTGAGCTGAGCCTTTGTCCACAGTCCAGGAAGGGAGGGAGAGATGGAGCAGGGTCTCCCTCAGCTCCTGGGGAAGGTGTAACGTTAGGTGGGTGAACTTAGGTTTCTTTCTCATTCTGGCCTCCCCCATCTCCCCAGGTACCCCTCCATGTGTAGCAGGGAGAGGATCTCAGATAAACCCAGGCTGGATCCCGCACCTCCCTCCCCACTATAGTGTTCAGGATGAATCCCCTTGTATTCATGGCCACACTGGAGGAGAGCACAGAAAGGTAAGTATTATTATTGTATTCGCAAGTGATTAGAAGGAAGATTTTTTACTGTAAATGCTCTTTTATTTTTGTTGTTGCTGTAATAATGCTGCACAATCAGAAAAAAAACCTGGGAGAGGGAGAAAGTGTGGAATTGAGTTTTCATGATGCAAACAAAAAAAAAAAAGGAAAAAAAGCCAAAAATGAAAATAAGACAAACATGGATTATTCAGTTTAACCCATGACACCCTGGAAGTTGCCAGATATCATGATCCCAGAGCAATTCATGTCTGTGGGGAGTGAGACTCAACAGCCCAGCCCAGGAAACACAGCGGGGAATGCAGGGCTCTGACCAGCCCAGGCCCCCCTGCTGTGGCAGCTGCAGTGGGGAAGGGTCTCCGAGCTGAGGAGTCTGGGAACTCAGTGTGGTCACATCCACTGGAAACATCCAGAGTGAGGTTGGGTCATCCTAGTGACAGCTGCCTCACTACCAGCCCAGGCCGTCCTGCTATTGATAAGTCGAATTTAAAAAATTCCTCCCTGGAGGGAAAGTGTCAGGGAAAGGTGGTGGTGTCCATGCAGGCCCTTCCCTCACAGCCCGGCCCAAGGAGAGTCCCCGAGTGTCTCCTCAGGGGCCTCTGCTGCCTCCTCTAGTGAGCAGAAGACTCATGTCACGGGGGAGGGAGACCTGCCCTGCCATGTCTTCCCTCCTGGGGATCATGTGGGGAGTGAGCCCCCAGCACGTGTGCAGACAGCTCGGGACCCAGCACAGGGAGTGCTTGATCCTGAGGGCTCCTAGGGCCTTTGTGGGAAGGAACTTGAAATATAATTAGGTCTCCCCAGCTTCTCCTGGAGCTCCCAGAGGGACAGGGCTGTGCACACAAGGGGGAGCCGCATCCAGAGTGAGGTTCTGTGTCTTAATTGTCTCCCCAAGAGGACATTGCCTGCTCCCTAGAAGCTTCCTGGAGTGCTTGGATATCTAAATAACATTAAAATATTACGAAAATCGAAGCCTCCACCATCCGGGTGGCTAGCTCATCCCAAACCTGGCATTTATCCCAAAGACAGGCCTCCTAAGACATTCAGGCACCCGAGCTCAGAACGCCCCACCCACTGCCTTCTCAAAACAGCACCATGCCTTGAGAACAACTTATTGACAAGGTAAAGGAGGGCCAAGGCCTAGGGTAAGGCCAAACTTTATTCTTTGCTCCCTCTAAGGAGCCATGTGGAATGGGGGATGGTGAGAACCTGAGGTTTAAGGAAAACCCGGCGTTTGGGGATGACCTGAGAGTTTGACTTATAAGTTATGGTTTTCAGGAAAGAATATTGAACTTAAAAGGGTGTTCATAAGTTTGTGAAATCGCCACTGGGTGGTAAAAACATCCATCGTGATGTTGAAAAACGACGCCTCTGGTGTGTTTCAGTCCCTAAACTGATATTTGCAGGAAGTTTGCTTTTTCTTTCTTCTGGATTGTAGAATCAAGTGCCAGGTATCAACTTTCATTCCTTTTTTTTTTTTCCCAGTGGGAAATTTTCTTCAGTTCTCAAGTCAGGATTTACTAATATTTGAAGCTGCTGTCACCTTCAGATATTTTGGAACTGATTTCCCCAACCTTCTTCATTCCAGGACACATTTCAAAATCCTTCATACTTAGAATCTTCACCCTGAAGATTTCCTCTGTGAGGGCTGTGATAACCGACTCTTTGAAATAGAAAGTTGCGGGCCTCCCTGGTGGTGCAGCGGGCGGAGCACTGCGCTGTGAAGCTGTCAGCAGCCTCTGGAGTGTGGGTTCCATTCCCGGCCTCCCAGGGAGAAACCCACATGGCACGGCAGACCTCTCCTGCCTCTCCCGCTGCTCCCATCAGCAGTGTCTTCTGTCTGTCAGCCTGTTCTGCTCCCCACTCTGTCTCTGGTGAATTCTTTCACCCTCCCAAGCCTCTGACCATACTCCAGTTCTTATATAAATAAATAAATCTTTCAAAAGAAATAGAAAGTTGCCTATATTTTCCAAAATTCAAATCCTAATTCATAAAAGGGCTTCAATCACTTTCCCCACCTCTCAAAAACACTGTCTCAATTCCTTCCCACTGCACGGTCTGGTTAGGAACTGAACCAAACTATATTAAGGACAATTACAAATGAAAGACTTGAAACAGTGGGTCAGAGGGAGGGATAGTGGAGGAAAGAAAATTCTGAATAAACGGCTTCATTCCTCATAGGGCCCAAATCAGCCTTTGGAACAATAAGCCAATTTAATTCCTCTTGTTATCTCTCATAAGTGAGAATTTTGTGGCAATACCAAATGCCTGAGAGTTTAGGGCATTTTTTTTTCTTTTTCTCCAAGTGGGAGTTGGAGTTATGTGATTTCAGCAAGGTTGGAGGATGGTGTGTGAGGATAGCAAGAGGTTCCAGTGGAGCTCAGACTGAAGTCCAGCCCTTGCTATGCAACTAGTGGGCTCTGCTCATGCCTTGACACTTCTTTTGACAAGGTAAAACTTCTATTTACTTCTATAGGGAAGGGCTTGCTTTCTGGCTTCAGGAAAAAAGATTTTTATGTGTAGATGTCTAAAGTGAGAAATACCACCTTGTCTCATTATTTGTGCTCCCATTTTTACTGTGTTTCTCTAATTATATTATGTAAATATCACACATTCATTGTGAACAACTCAAACCATTTATAAAATATAAAACTTCTAAAATATAAAAATGTAATAAAAATTATCTCGTCATCTTACCATAATAATAAGCATTAATATTTTGGTGACATTTTTGCATGCACCTCTTTACATGTCTATGTGTTTTTACATAAACAGCATTTAGCATAAATGATAATTTTCCTGTGGATACCTTTCCACACCCATATCAGCAGCTTTATCCCCATTTCCATTTTCCCCAAGTAACACACATATCTTAGCCAGAAAAAAAAAATTGAGATTTTGCATGCGAATAGTTTATTTGGGTTCATTACCATGGGAACAGGAAGCATAAAGCAGGAAGTGGAAAAAAAGTTGATACCAGGGAGCTTTACTGACCTGGGTACTGCCATGGGCAACTGGGGTTCAATCTCCCTGACAAATAAGGTGCAACTGGACTAAGATGGTGGAAGGTTATACCTGCATGAAACTGGTTACTATGAAACAATAAACGATAGCAGTAAAAAGGTGAACTGACTGGATAGAAGACATGAGGCCTGAGAAATGTCCAATACAGTCTACTCCTTACACCACTAAGATCTTTTCACGCGCTCTGTGGAGTCCAGTCAGTCACAGGGTCTTTGATGTGGTGGCCAGTGACAAGCTCTACAAAAGACTCAGTTAATGGACCAAACCTCCACAGATGCATGTGGTCACAACACCATTATTAATGTGCTTTGTCTCTTTCCCACACAGCCATTCCAGATTCCCCTCTCCCTGGAGCAAACCTACATTCTTCATCCCTGCAGAGTGGGAGGCTGAGTCCCTCACCCCCATCAGGACATGGTTGCTGCATGGCCTGTTTGTATTTCTACTTGGCCAGAAGCCCCAGTTCTCCAGAGTTTCTACACGTGCTCCTTTCTTACTCCATTGTGCAGCAGCAACCCTAGCTCCTCATAGTAATCAGGGTCAATTATTCTGAAAACGATCACAATAGAGTTCATTATGGTCACTGGCTCAAGGAATATAAATGCTTAGGCAGTAGATATAACATCAAATCTAGCAGAACCTTGCTGGTACAAAATATGCCTCCCAACCTCCCACCTCACGTCCCTGGAGAGCCTCTAATCTAATAGGGTGAAGGTGTGGGGTGAGAAGTATAAATTCCTCCAGTGCATCATTAGGAGTAATGGTGAGAGTGGCCGATCCTTCTTCACCTCTTAGTTGCAGGATCCATGCTTTCTCAATATGGAACACAGATTATATATTGGCATTTACTTCAATGTGTATAACACATGTTGAAAGCTGCCTTCCACCATCTCAGAGTGTTTTGCCCAAGATAAAATGTTAAAAGTTTTTAATGTCTCTCCTCCTTCAATTATGCTGTCAACTTCCAAGTGACATGCTGTGTGGTAGAATCAGTGATTCCTGCAGACATGCTGCCAATGTCATACTTATTTCACCATAAAACGTGCCCCTTATCAGAGGCAATGTTATATAGGCTCTATGCTGGTGAATCAGGCAATCTGTTGGCTCTTGAAAGGAGATGCTGGCAGTCAGGGAAGGGAATCTTACATCCAGAATGGATATCAATTCTTGAGAACAAATCACTCTCCATAACAGGGTAAACTGAGTGAAGAAATCCACCTGTTACCATGTAGCTGTCTGGTCTACTTAAGTGATGTTATCACAGCAAGAGCTTGACTGTGATTTCTTTGACTGGAAATCTGGGCATTCGTGAGTGACAGTGACTGATGAATCACCCATGATGAGAAGAAACTCATGCTACTGGACTCAGGTATGATCAAATCGCCCTTGATCTCGATTTCTATGACTTCAGGGACAGTTGAATAAGCCCTGGGGTGACCAACGAGAGAGGCTGAGTGTTATCCACACAAAGGGACATTCTCTGTGGTAGGTGCTCTCTGAGGTGAGAACTAACATGAGACACAAAGGTCTTAAACCCTGTGTCCACTCCCATGGACAAAAATGCCTCATTTCCTAACTTCCTTTGACGTTCATCTTCTCATCTTGCTCCTTCTCAGCACTGAATCATTCAGAAAGTCACAAACCACTGCCAGGAGTCTATTTTATAGCCGTAACGGAGGGAGGTCAACATTGCCACCATTCAAATTAAGTCATCAGGGCACTGCCTGCAGCTCTTGCCACTCCTCACTGTCTCATTGGGTGCTCCTGGGTGAGGCTATTTAATGAAATTGTAGCCCTGGATATCCCATTACATCTCTAATCTTAATATCTTCCTCCTAAAACATATGTTCTTATAAATGGATGTCCTAACATGGACTGATATAGACATTAATAATGATTTCTTGATTATACTTATGTAATGACCTATGGCTGATTTGATAGATATTGCTCATTTACAAAACCCTACTGTTTAACTAAAATTCAATATCCCCAATTTTTTTTTTCTTTCAGCATAGGGATAAGAGGATTCAGCAGAGACAGAGTGGGAAGCAGAACAGGTAGATTTACTGAAATACACTGCTAAGGGGAGCATCTGGTGAGACAGGAGAAGTCTGCTGAGCCCTAGGAGGGTCAGCTCCCTGGCTGGGCTAGATTCAGGCCTCAGTGGTGGCAGCGCTGAGACTTCACCCCTAGGACACCAGGGAGGCCCAACAAACCAAATTTGCATTACACCTACCATGTGTACTACCTCTATTGTGTACTTGGGAAGATCCCAGGTCACCACTTATTTGGTTTCTTCTCTGTAAAACGCCCAGGTAGAATTCAGAACAGAGGCAGCAGACATGTGAAGGAATCAGGGCCTGAGGGGCCTGGGCAGTGAGTGGTTTGGCTAAAGGGTTTACACTAGTTGTAGATCTTCTGCATAGGCCATAGCAAGAAGGAGGCCAGCACTATGACAGAACTGGACGCAAAAGGAGTGAAAAAATTTGGGTGATACAAAACAAACTTTATTAGTATTTCTATAATGAACAAGAAACCCTGGAGGAAATAAAATGAAAAAAACGTGAAATCAATTAGGAAACAAAGATTTTTGAATTACAAGAGGAGGGCCAGGTGTCAGTGGGTGGAGGGATAGTAGAAGTTAAACGAGGACATGTGGCTAGAGAGGTGGGTGAGGAGAGGTTTGGGGTCAGCGGTGCTTAGTCAGCACCAGAGGTGGGCAGGCAGGACAGGGGTCAGGGAATGGGACCCTGGAGGAATGGCATCAGGTGAGCACCCTCTGCATATGTTGTTCCAGAGCAACAGGAGAGCCCAGCAGGCCTGCTGGGTCAGACAGACAATGCCCAGAGTACTGTAGCTGTTCCTGGGCACTCTGAGCTCACTAAACCCTGAATAGTAGCCTGAAACTCCCAGATTCCAGCAGGATGTCCCCAGGCTGCTGAGCTAATACCAGCCCTGCTGGGGAAACCAGGCCAGGACCTGCAACCTGTGGGACAACCTGCTGGGCATAAGCACACACCACCTGTTTGTGGGGAGCCAGGCCCTAGCCAGGCCCCAGCAGGGCATGCTGGCAGTGGTGTGTTTACACCAGCCCCACCGCGGGAGACAGGTAGAGGCCAGGATGCTTCAGGAGCTGCCCAGTGTGGGCAGTTCACACCCCACCCCTTCTGGGGAAGCCAAGACTGGCGCAGGATCCCAAAGACTTCTTTGAGGATTTTGAGATAAGAGGAGTGCTGCAGGAGGAACCAGACAATGACCAGGATGCTGCACCCCATGAGGACAGTGCTGAGCTCACTCCACCCTGCTGGGACAGCCAGGCCCTGGCCAGGAGAATGCAGCCTATGCAAGAGCGTCCTGAGCTCGAACCACACCTGTGGGAGGAAGCCACCTCTGGCCAACATCCTGCAGGTTCAAGTGAGGGTGCGAAGGCAGCAGCAGCCCTGCCTGGGGAACCAGCCCCTGCAGGGATCCTGCAGCACAAGCAGAGACAACCCCGGTGTCTGCTTCTCTCCAATCAGCAACTTGGCTGGGCTCTGGCCTGTCCCATGGGCTGCAGGGGAGCCCGACTGTGCTCCTTGAGAAGCGGCTAGAGATGCAAGAGGACAGGCCATCAGCCACACGCCAGATTGCCACTTGCCTTTTCAAACAGACCACATGCTAGAGCCCTGAGCAGAGACCACCCTAAAATAGGGGGCCCTTGGGATTCTGTTCCTCAAATGAGGCAGTTGCAGATGCCAGGTCAGACTGCTCGTGGTCCAAATCTAGCCCGTGTGGTCTCCTCCAAGGGCCACCTGACCCTACCCCGCCCAGCCGGGCCCATGCACCAGCCTGGGCCACTCACCCTCGGACGGCTCCTCCAGGGATTTCGGGTACTGCAGCCAGTTCCTTTGGACATGTGCCCCAATCTCAAAGTTGCAGGTGCACTTCAACCTGGGCTCTGTGCTGGGACAGATCCCACACTGGGCTGTGGGAGGACAGTCGGGGAATTGCACTCTCTGGATCTCTTCACCTTCCTGGACACAAAAGACCTCCTGGGAGTAAACAGACACACCTGCTGGGTAGCAACCAGCTGGGGCAAGAGGGAGCAGCCATGACGGTTTGGGTCCCACCACCAGCCAGGCTGGTTCTGGTGTAGACATGAGCAGACTCCTGGGTGGGCCAGACCCTCCTTCCTGGAGCACGCACACACTCACTCTCACCGCACGCACACCCGCACTCACAGGGGGAAGGGAGGGGTGGGGGCATCAGAGCCCTGGCGTGGTCTGACCTGTCCCCAGGGCCCCCTAGTTACCTCAGGGGCAGTGCTGGTGCTGGCCCGAGGCGTACGCACAGGCTCCTCATGCCTTTCGGCAGAGTGTGACACGAGTTTCGTGGACCTTTTTTGGGTCCACTGCGGGGAGACCTGGGCAAACAGCAAGAAAACGTGGGGCCGGGTCCAGGCCCACCAGGCAAGTGAGCTGGGTCAGGTTTGGTTCAGAACCAACTGCCTGGGGACCAGGGTTCCGAGGTCATGTGTGCCCTGTCATCTCGCGGAGGTGATGTCACTTCCTGGGTCCCCTTCCCTGGACTTCCTGCTCAGACAGATGCCCCCCCCCGCTCCCCCCCGGCCCGCCACATGGCTACCTGGGCCACTTCCTGTTGGCCCTCCATACCAGGCTCATCTCACAACACTGACAGCAGCACAGCCTCCCAGAGACCTTGGATGGAGCCATGCAGCCAGGGACAACCTGGGGACCCAGGTCTCTGGCTGCTGACCTGGCTCATCCTCCCTGCCAGGGAGCAGGCCCTGCAGCATCGGCAACTCCAGGCTCCTGTCTCCCATGGGCCCAGAGGAGCTCCAGAGTGTGGAGCCTCTCCCTGGGGAGTGGGCCACTCCTCTCTGCTGCCCTTGGAGGGGAGGCTGGTGTCAGGCTCACAGCACTTGGAGGGTCCCACCCGGGAAGGGCACCTGCACACGCCTCACCCAGGCCTGGCCAGCCCTGCTGGGGGCAGAGACATCTCCCACCCGGGGTGCCTGTCCTCCCACCCAGTGTACCTGTCAGCCCTGCTCCTCTCTGGCCGTGCCCTACAGGGCTTTGCGGGCCCAGTCAAGGTGCCAGGGCCACAGACAGTGCACACCTGCTGGCCACAGATTTCTCAGGGCCCCCCCTGCTCACACACCTGCCCACCTGCCTGGAGGTTGTATCGAATTGGGGCTGGGTTCTGACTGGGACGAGGCCACCCAAGGCAGGGGGTGTCCACTCCAACAGTGACTGATGCCAGCGAGGCCTCTTCTGTCTCCTTCCCTGTCCTCACTGGCTGACTCTCCCTTTCTCTTTCTGTATGTCCCTCTGATGTTCTCTCTCCCCTCCTGGTCTGTCCTCATCTCACTCTCTGTGTGTGTCCCTGTCCCTCTTGGCCTCTCTGTCCCTGCCCCATTCCTCTGTGTCCCTGTCTCAGTCTCTCTCTGATCCCCAGTGTGCAGAGGACCAGAGGGAGGGAGGGAGGAGCACAGGGGACTGAGGTGATGGTGCACGGGTGCCTTGGAGAAGGAAACTCTATGGGGACTACACCTGAGGGGGTGGGGGAAAGCAAATAGTCTTACAAGTGAAAAGTGAAGTTAAAAAATAAAAAAAAGAAGATTATAAAAAAAAATACAATCACGCCTGCAGAATCCTCATCCTGTCTTGGTTTCTGCAGCAGTGGGGGTGTGAACTGTCCACACTGGGCAGTTCCTCAAGCATCCTGGCCTATACCTGTCTCCCGCAGTGGGGCTGTTTTGATCCTGTCTCCTGGAGACAGCATAAAATTGGGTTTTGTTTTTTGGTACAACCAGTCACTCTGTGTCTTTCTCTTTGGTGAGTTCAATTCATTTCCATGAAGGGTGATGACATGATGACTTTCTACTGCGCTTTTGTCTTTAGTCAAATCCAGGCAAGAAATGTGTGGTAGGGCCTCCCCGGTGGCGCAGCGGTTGAGCGCTGGGTTGCAAGGCTGCCTGCAGCCTCTGAAGCATCGGTTCGATCTCTGGCTGCTCTCCAGCCACCGAGGAGGGTCCCACATGGCGCGCAGACCTCTCCAGCTGCCCGCTGCTCCCCTCAGCAGTGTACTTCATCAGTCTGCCTGTTCTGCAACCTGATCTGGCTCTGGTGAATTCTCTCACCCTCCTGCACTTCTCACTGTACCCAGTGCTTGTATAAATAAATAAATAAATATTTTTTTAAAAAGTTGTATCTCAATAAATTTGCTTTAAAAACATAACAAATAGGGTCTACAAGTTGCCCTGTGTCTGTCCTCTACTGTATCCTCATCAAGGGCTTGTGGGGCAGGGAACTGCCTGAGCCCATGAGGAGCTGAGCACAGACAGTTTCACTGGACAGAAGCTGTCAAGGCGCCTCCTCTGCGTGGTCCTGAGTCACGCGATGAGATGCTGACATCACGCTGCTTCTGTGATGGGAGAGACTTTAGGGGCCTTGGGTGGGAGGCAGCTTATTTTTCATGTGGGCAGAATGGAAATAATGAGTGTCCAGAAGGTCTACTGTGTTGGTTTTCAATTCTCCACCAGTTCTGGGATACACAGGAGGGGAGACAGCTCCCCCGTGAGTGTGTCTGACTCGCTGGCTCTTCCTCGTGAGGAGAATGAAGCAGAAGGGACGCGCCACGTCACAGAGTCAGGCTCACAGGGGCTGAGACTTCCCGCCCGGGCTCCCCTGGTCCCTCTCTGGGGTGACTCCCTGCACACGGTGGACCCTCAGCTAAGGGGACGCCCACAGGACAAGGACCTGAGGGTTTTCTCCAGGAGCCACATGCAGGAGCTCTGAGGCAGGACCTTCCACGCTGATCACGGCCATTCAGAGTCGCCAACATCTCGTCCCCATCACAGCCTCGTGGGACCCAGAGCTGGAGCCTCTGAGTGAGGCCCCTCCAGCCGCCTCCCCCTCAGAGACTGTGGAGACGCCAGATCTTTGTTTTAGGTGCAAAGGAGGAAGAGATTTGGTACAAACCAGTAAAATATTCAGGCGATAAAGTGATCAGTGGCTGTTTTCTCACAAGAAACAGTGGAGGCCAGAGTAGCTCACGTGACCATCAAGGTCCTGATTGCAATGAGCCGTCAGACAAGGAATCCACGTCCTCTGAAGTGTCCTTCAAAATATGTGATTTTTAAAAATCAGTTCTAAAGTTTTCAGATTCCCATTTAATTTTGCTGTTTTGTTTTCTTTATACTATCCCAGAGCGGTGTCTGCAGGGTCACGGCACAGAGGGGCTGTCAGCAGCCTGGAGCTGTGAGCAGGGCTGACTCTAACCTGCTAGCAGGGAGTGGGGCCCTGGAGCCCCAGAATCAGCCCCACAGATGGCCCTCCAGGGCAGCACAGGCCTTTCTCCTCTTGATTCCCTGAATCACCTCCTCTTCATTGCAGGAATCTCCCTGCCACCCCAGCATTGGGGAGTTGGGGAGGATGTTGAGGCTCAGGAAATGGGGGCGTCCTCCAAACCATCTGTCCTCTCCTCCTCTCTCTCCTTCATCAGCCTGAGTGTGCGTGTTTGAGTCACACCAGCCCTGCACGGACAGGAAAGGCCCAGAACCTAAGTGATTCCCTAATCAGTTACAGCTCCAGCCCCTCTGCAGTCCCACCAGGGGAGACAGAGACTCTCCCAGCCCCAGCCAGAGCCGCGTCTCCCACACAGACCTTCCCCTCACAGTGTCCCCGATGCTGCCCCTTCCTGGCCCCACCCTTCCTGGTGCCCCCACCACTCCTTTGGGGCCCATCCCCTAGTCCCCATTTTCATCCTCTGCTCCATTTCCAGGAGCCTCCCCGTCTTCCTAGTCATGCCCTGGGGGCTCTCCTCAACCTCCCCTCATTCAGGGATGGAGAATTTTTAAAAGATGTATATTTGTTTATTTATTTCCTTACAGCGTGGGTCATCTTTCTATAGTTATTGTTCCTCTTAGGTGCGGCCCTTCCACCAATGATCCACCACACACCACCACCAGCTCCCCGGGTCTCTCCCCGGCTCTGATCACTCCTGCTCCCCCTGCTGCAAGACGTGGATGGTGGTTGGCCCCGGTCTTGGTGTTTTCCTGGAACCTTGTCCTTTTCTTGGGCGAGGCCCTGGGCTCTTGGGTAGAATTGAATGTTAATTCCCTGGAAGCAGAAGCAGAAACAAAGTACAGAGACTCTGGAGTCCAAGGATCCATCCGAGACTGAAGGAACCTCTATATTTGGGGATCAGCCCATAATCTGGGAATCAGCTGTAATGACCTGGAAACCTGCTTTTGTCCTTTGTCCATAGGACTAAGAAAATTGGGGACTTCTGACCTGACACTGGACTTGGGCGCCCCCTTGTGAGCAGATCCCTGTCCTGCCGCTGGGGGCCCAGGGAGCCTGGGGAGGGCCTGGCTGAGCAGGAGAAAGGGCGGCTCTGGGCGCCTGTGCTCAGCCCTGTGGCCACACGGGGGCGCTGCCGCGCTGCTCCGGATTTGGTGGCGCTGCCAGGACGGGGCGGGGGCTGAGGTGGGCACAGCTGGGGATGCTGGAGGGTGGCGACCTGGGGGTGAGATGCTCTGTGAGGAGTCAGAGCAGCAGGGCTTAGAGGAGAGGAGACTCCGGAGCCTGCCCTGTGTGTGAGGTTTCCATCTTTTCTCCCAGAACCCTCTCTCCAGTCCCTGGACGGTGATACCTGGAAAACTGGAAAAGAAAAAAATTTTTCTTTATATAACCTATTAAATATTGAGAGTATTTTAAAAAATAACATTTAAAGAATACTGTTCGATTTACAGAAAAGTTGCAAAGGCAGTACACGTCTTGTTTATCCCACACCATTTCCATTTTGTTAACATCCTGCATGAGTACAGATTTTTCTTTTACCACTAATGCAGCAATGTTGACATAATAACTAAACGCCATACTTTAATTCGTTTTTGCTAATGTCCATTTTATGCCCAATAATCCCATCCAGTTTGCCTGGATGACAGTTTCTCAGACTTTCCTTGTTTCCTTGGGAGAGGTGTTGGGGTCACAGATGGGGGTTCTTGGGTCACCTCTAAGAAAAACTTCACCAGAGTCCTTTCAGTGGGGTGAGGGCACACACACACACACACACACACACACACGCACACATATGAAAAGAAAGAAGTCCATGCTTGCACAGACACAAATTGGCAGGAGGACCTGATCCTGGAGGGGGGCGGTGTTGGGGAAGCCTGTTAGTGGAGGCTCATTAGAACTCTGTTGGTGTGTGTGGTGTGGAATTACACATTTTAATAAGTGTGAAGCTGTACTCCAAAAATTTATACAGTGTTATAAACTAGTGTAACACACGCATATATATATTAATTATTGCTTTTGGGTGTTTTGCTTACAATACTGCTAAAAGCCATGATCCATTACGGAGGTCTTACTATGTGGGCCTCTTAGTTGAATCATAGTCTCTGGTATACTATCAGCTTTCCAATCCTCAGATATGGAGGAAATTTCTAATTCCATTTATACCACATCTAGGTCATGGGTAAGAAAATGTTTGCTCCTCAGTTGATCTATGTAGCCAACATCTGCATCAGTAATATAGAAAATCCTTGAATTTCCTCTAATTATGT